ATTTGACAGGGACTGTATCAAATGCAAGGTTGAACTTAGGGAAAATGAAGGTTCAGAAACATCACATCTGGCTTAAGATCAATGTCAATCAGGTGTGAGTTAGAACTTAAACATAGATTTTCTGGTTCTGAACCCCACCCCTATTTCTGAATTATTTCCTGGTTCTCAGAAAAGGCAGGGGAGTGGTCACTGAGGAGGAGTGTGTGGTGGGCCTTCTGCACCCGTTTACTACCCACAGGCAATGAACTCATCCACGGACTTTTCTGGGTGGAGTATGATAACAAGAACTATTATTGAGCCCAAGTGGCCAAGTCCTCATTAAACCAAAACGACCCATGGAAGCTGAGTCCACACGTTTCTTGAACACCGTGGCAGACTCAGAACTTCAGAACCCAAAGTTCTGAAGAACTAAAAACGCACAAAAAAAGTCTTCAGAACTAAAAACACAAAAGCAGGCACTTTAAAACTGAAAACAGGGCCTCTCTGGTGGCGCAAGGGGTTAAGCATCGCACTGTGAAGCAATCCGCAGCCTCTGCAGCATGAGTTCAATCCTCAGCCAGCCAGGGAGCAACCACATGGTGCAGCAGACCTCTCCTGTCTTGCCCGCTGCTCCCCTCAGCAGTGTATTTCGTCAGTCTGCCTGTTCTGGTCCCCACTGTCTCTGGTATGTCCGCTCATCCCTGCATCTCTGGCCTGTACCCCAGCTCTTGTATGCATAAATAAATAAATAAATAAATAAATAAATAAATAAATCTTACAGAAAAAAAAACTTAAAAAAAAAAATCAACTGAAAACAAAGTCACCAAATAAAGAACTTGGCCAACCTCAGAGGCTTGGAGAGCAGGGGCCAGATGGTAGGAGGAATGTGGGCGCACCAGGGGAGGGGGGACTGCCCTGACTCCTGTCCTAAGTGCTATACATATGTCTCCTTGGGGCTGACAAAGGCTCAGCTCAGCTAACCTCGGGTGGACGCCAGTGGGGTCTGCAGGCTTATTCTGGGCCATGCAGCCTTATCTCGGGTCTGCACCAGAGATTTAGAGGTCTGCAGGCCGCTCAGTAGCTTTGATGTGTGACTGGTCCACATGGATAGACATCAGTCTGTGCCTTTGGGCCTCTTGTGGTAAACGCGAAACAGGACAACCCAGAGGAAAGGGGCTTACGAACCCAGGACACAAACCAAAGGCAGGTACATGGAAAGAAACAATAACAGGATCTATTTATGCAAGGAGTAAGGCAAATGAGAGCTGAGAGAGAGAGAATTACAGGCTGGTTAGCGGCCAGATGCCATCTGTCCCATCCCAGAGCATCTGCTAAGCAGAGACCAAGGTCCAAGCCAAAGCTGCATGTGGCAGGCAGGCAGCTTCTCCAGGATATGCCTCCTCACCAGCAGTTTAACTGTCTTAAAGCGTAACTGCCCCCAAATCTCAGCTCCACCCCTATTTCCCATCAGCCCCGCTCAGGGGGTGGATTTTGAAAAGCTCCATCTTCTACCATCCAGTTGGTTTTTAGCAACACCCACTGGTCAGAGGCTCTTCCTCACTGTTCCTCTTAGGAACGTGACCTGTCTAAGGAAGATGCTTATAGTACGAGGGCGGCTTGAGGACTCATCCCTGGATCTTGCCAGAATCGAAGCTGGCAAGAATCCCTTCTGGTATCTGCTGACTTTGATTCCTTTAGTCCCAATGAAACAGATTTGTCCTTTCATTCTTTATTTTTTAATCACTACAATGCTTAGGACCATTCAGCTGTGACCCCATGATTTCCTACCTTTAACTGGAATAAGGGGTGTTTTAACTGTCTGAACTGGACACTGAATTGGGGCAGAGTTGAATGCCCAGGTGTTGAAGTCAAATCTCGACATTCAGCCCTGATTCTAATCTCTCATTCTGCAAAAGCCTCTCTATTATTCTCCAACAGAAATGGAGAGTAAACAAGCTTGCCTTCAACAAAGAGCCTAGTAATGGAAAATGTACAGCTACTATGTGCCATTATTTATTGTGGCAATATGGAGAAGAGTAAATACAGTGTTGTGCAACTTGCATATGAACAGCAGAAAATATTAAATCTGTTCCTTCCATCTGCTTCCCGTGAGAGGGAAGAATCATCACACGGTGATGTCAAAGAACTTCCAGCCCGCGGCGGGGATATTTTTGGTGATGTCCCATAATAGAACACCTGCCTTTAGGGAGGTGGAGGCCACGGGGCCCTCCAGGAGAGCGTTCTCAGAAGAGGAATCAGGAATTTGGCCTCTGGAACTTTCTCTTCCCGACATGTGGCATTATATGTAGACATATATGCTGGTCTGAGCTACTGAAACAGCTATCAGGAATGTGCTTAAAAGCCAGTGTTCTTTGGAGAACAATGAAACAAGGAGGCGGGGGGCCTTCTGGTGTTCTGCGGGCAGCTTGTGGGAAAAGGGAGCTCAATGAATAAGCAGGGGTGCGGCAATGTTCAAAGCAAAGTGAGTTGAGGTCTGAGATCTGGTGCTCAGAGGAGAGAGGGAACAAAGAAGGGGCACAGAGGAGAGGGGAGAGGACAGATGGAAGGAAGGAGGGAGGGACTGAAGGGTTTCCAGTGACCATGCCTCCCAGTGATGCGCTCTCACAGTGACCGGAGATGCAGACGTCACCATCAGCTTTCTGTAGATGAGATCCAGACCAGAGACCAAGGCCTCTGCCCAAGCCGGTCACAACCCCGGTGCCCAGGGAGGGTTGGCATCAGACTCTCAGGCCAGTGGTCGTCTGTGGAGGGACATGTTTATGTGCCCACCCATGCGGGGGCTCAGGAAGGACCCCAGGCCTGGTTGGAGCCTATGCAAGACTTTCACCTCTATGCACTCAGTGGCCCCGGGACAGGCAGAGTAATGCAGAGGATCCTTTCAAGAGTAAGGCAGGGCGTTCAGGGCAAGCACTGCCAGGAACCCAAAGATCCACCAGCCAGAGGGCAGGGAGGCACACGGTGGTGCATGCGAAGAATAGAACATGACCAGCCGTCACGGGCTTGGCCAAAGTCACCGAAGTGGGAGCACATTTAGAAAAAGTGCCTGGAAACTGGGTTCCCAGCCTGGCTGTTTGATGTAAATTAGAACATTCAACCTACTCCCTATGGGGATGTGTCTGGGGGGCCTTCCAAGAGCACCACCTGGGTTGTCTCCCAACGCAGCAAGGAACAGAAATGTGGGCGCTGACCACAGGGAACTCAGGGACCAAGAATAAGGGTGAGCCCCCTACAGGCACTGGAGCATAAACGCTGTTTCACCAAGGAAAAGGCTCTCCCCAAACAGATCCACAGCCACCTGGGCTGCCAGTTATCCATGACAGAAACAGTGGGGCCTTGGGTGCTCATATTTGGGAACTATTTTTCATTAAAAAAATTACAGACTTTTGAAAAATGGTCACTTTCTCCCAGGTGTGACTACGTGCGTGGTTGCCGGGAAGACTCGTAACAAGAGAAGCCAAGACGGGGGCGGGAGGGGCGGGGAGGAATTTTAGGGGGGGTGCTGTCACTCAGGCCCGTTGAGTTATTGGCATCAAAGGCTCTCTCAGGCCTCCCTGTGCCCTTTGGTGCTTGGGTGCCACATTCCTGGGGACAAGGCAGAGCAGGGCTCAGCAATTTGCTGGGCCCAGGAATCACAGAATCAGGGGTTGGAGAAGGATCTCATGATCCAGCCCCCAATAACCAGAACTTTAAAAAATCCTCACTACAGATCTTGCCCCAAGCTCCCTGGAAGCCTCTGTGGCGTGGGGACTCCACCCCGCCTCGGACTCAGCTGTCTTAGTAGTGCCCACCCTCACCTATAACAGCCATAGGACCTGCAGACTTCACGGGGCGGGGCCCTCTCCACTCACCCTCCCATGCCAGGCTCTGCATTCAGGGCTTAGATGCTGAGGCAGCCACGCCTGGGCCCTGAAGGTTGACTCACTTTTCTACATCAGTCCCTCTTTCTGCATCAGTTAAGTGAGGTGAGCACACCTACCTGATGCAGTTTAGGGGCCATTCACAGGTGGGGACCCCTGTGACAGGCGCGGGAAACCCAGTCACCCAGGTTGCAAGGGGCAGAGATGGGATTCAGGCTGGTGGTTTCTGAATCCCAAGCACCTTGCAGCCCCAAAGCACCAGGCTGCCCTGCCAGCATGTGGGCCTTCCACTGCCAGGACGTGGCCTTCAGAGCCTCTTTCCCCAGTAGAGCCAGGTTTCTGCACAGCTGAGCTGTCAGCAGCTGCACTGTGGTCCAGGCAGCCTTGGTGGGAAGCCACGAGCTGCAGGGAGGCAGCCTGGTGGCTCCAGGAGCCCCAACCCAAAGCCCAGGCCGAGCGGACAGACGTGGTCACAAGCTAGAAGGCAGATGCTAGACGCATGCTTGAAGGTTGGGTCCCCATGTGCAGGCCTCCCTGCACCTGTCCCCTCACCTGGTTGAAGGAGAAGCACATGGGCCTCGGGGGTTGCTGCTAGGGGGTTTGCCCACGGTGGGTGAAGCATGGGTCCTGGGGTCATTTTGGTTACTGCCATGGCTGCCAAGGCTACACAGGGCTCAGCACACTTGGCCTCCAAGACCCAGAGCAGGGGACACCTCTCCTGGCCCCATGCCACCAAGAGCCCTTCAGATCTGGGAGAGCCGTGCATTTGCCCAGTGCATGTCCTCGGGGCCTCTTCAAGGCATGGGAAGGGGGTGGGGGACTACCTGTGCTTGGTGCCCCTGGACGGAGCTTTACTCCAAGCAGCGGCTTAGCACCACCTGGGAGAAGCCCCCGCCCCCCCCCCCCAGTTGATCAGAGGGCTGGAAAGAGTGTTTCCCTCAATGAATTTCAAATGCACGGACTTGTAAAATCACCAGAGCTTCCACAGTCCCAGGGAAACACTTCCAGCTTAAGAGTCATGTCCAGTTTTGTTTTTGTTAACAAAATAAAAAAATACACGGAGGCAAAGGAATGACACTGACATTTTTAAATGCCATGGAGCTGGGGAACAAAAGCACATGGAGAGTTTCTTTTTTTTCCATTGCACCTTTATTGTTTACTCCGTTCACTGCTCAGAATTTTCATACAGTCCTTCTAGAAGCACACAGAGCCTGCGAGACCACCCCTCCCTCCAACATGCCTTGCATTTCGCACCAGCCTCCTCTTATCCCTCATCCTCATTTGTATGATATTCTGCCAGTGTCTAAGGAGTCCGGGTTTATGTTTAGGGGGAAGTGGGGGGGGTGCAGAGCTAGTCCTCAGCAAAGCCATCGATTTGCTTCCTGACCCCAACAGCCCTTCCTGCCCTCTTCCCCCATTTCCTCTCTTCCCACAGATCCGGGGGCCCTCCAGGACCTCCCAGCAGCCTGCAGGCTGACCAAGCAACAAGACAGAGCTGGGTTTGAGTCCTGACGCTCCGCCCGTAGCCATGTGATCATGGGGAAGTTTCCTGATCTCTCGGGGTTCCCCTTTCTTCTACAACGTGGGGGAAGACTCCCTCCCTCCCAGGACTCCTGGGAGGCCCAACAACATAAGGACTATAGAGTGTGTGGCACGCGGTGTGCCCTAAACACTGTCAGCTTCCTTCCTTCTGGCGGGGAAGAGAAAACACCTGATGAATCAATGTCAGAGCCAGATGCGCAGGGGCATTTGATTTATAAAAGAGCCTGGTCTTTAGAGAGGCCTGAGAAATGACTCTCTACTGGTGGAATTTCAGACACTACAACATGGCAAGTGAGAAATCTGGCAGCAAAGACTTCCTGGGCATCGTTCAAATCCAACTCAGCAGGCTGCTGCTGCCTTTGCCCATGTGGGAGGCTGGTGCTAGCAGATAAATTCTGACCCCTTTTTAAGGCCATGCCACTGCTGCCAGGAAAAGGTGCATCTCAGGGAGCAGAGAACAGGGCACATTCGTATTCACCCAACCACCCCTGCCAGGGAGCAGCCGCTTCCTGTGGGTGCAAACTAGGAGCTTTAAGAAGCACAGCGATCCTCTAGGGTGATCGCTATGTGCCCTTCTAGTGCCCTCACAAAGTCACCTGCCACAGGGGAGTCCTCCCAGCCTGAAAAGCCCAGAAGGAGCCTTCACCGAGGGGGGTGGGTCACAGCACCCACCTACTTTGATGGGAAGGAATTATGCACCTACTGCTGAGTGCCCCACTTTGTTCTCCCCCATCTTCCGCCATGCCTGGCCATCGAAATCACAATATCATTAACAAATGGCCACAGGAGTGAAATAATATGAAGCCACCCAGGGAAGCTGAACATTCCACCAAAGAGACCATCTGCAGACCCTGCCACGCTCTTCCCTGACACGAGTCCTGGTGAAAGTTTTTAAAGCTGATCTATCACTCAGCCCTGGATCATGCATAATTCTCAGTAAGGGTTTGGTGCACCTAAGGTCCACATGCCCACGATCATTTGCTATCTCTGATAGAACAACAAAAAGCCACTGAACAGACAATCCTAAAACATGCACCAACCAAGACCACAGCTGGTATTATGGAAAAGTATCCTCCAGACAGACAGACAGAGAGAGAGAGAGAGAGGTAAGTCTGGGATGATTACACGACACAACATCTGCAGTCTAGGGGGGCGAAGCAGGTAAGACCAAGGGAAGCTCTATGAATCCAGGAGCGCCTCTCCAAATATTTGGTTCATGCTAAAAAATAGAGCACATTTATTAAAAATATATATTTATAAACCTTGATATGAACAGATACACACGTCAAGCCAATGAAAAAAGAAAAATAAGTTATCTCCCTGGTATCAAAGAGTTTAGACACTTTTGATGAGTGGGATCCTGCAAGAACGGCCCTCGTGGCTTCATACTAAACAGCTCACGGTGTGGAGGCGACACGCGTGTCCAGGAGACGCGCTGACGAGCTGCGTCCTTTCCTCCTTCCGAAGGCGTGACCTCGCCAGCTGTCGGGGCGACGGGCTTCGGCGCCCACCCACTAGCGATGGCACCCAGGCTGGTCTTGCAGGTGTTCTTCCAGGCCCCCTGCCCAAGACATTGAGTTCCTGGTTGTGCGAATGAGTTTTGTTGGATTCATTGTGCTTTAGTGTCTGCTCCTTGCAGCAAGATTGGTTTAATTTTGTGACCTTTTAGGGCGTTCAAAGGTGCATCTCGTGAGTCGTGTGTGTGGGTCAAGTGCCTGCCGTGTGTGCTGGGTCACTGATTGGAGGACACACAGGACTCCCATCTTCTGGCCACCCCGAGGCCTCTGAGGACCTCCCGGGCTGCTCACAGCGTGGTGTAGATGTACACAAAGATGATCACGACTAGGTTCAGGATGGTGCCGATGATCCCGAGCATGGCCAACACGCTCTCTTCTTTACTCTCTTTTTCTTGGCTTCCTCTGTCATCATCATTTCCACCCGTGATTACCATCTTGGTTGCAAATGTCTTTATCTTCCTCCCCAGGCTAACCTGTAATTGGAAAGAGGCAGCACAAAATATTATCATTGGCAAAGCATCTTCTCTGTAGCCAGTTGGGTCTGGTGGCGAGGGGGTCAGGTCTGAGGACTCCATCAGGGGTGGGAGGGAAAACTACCCACGGGTCCAGCCTTGGGACACAACCTCTTGGTTGCGGAGCAACACAGGGCAGGGCTGGCCAATTTTAAGCAAGCCTATTCTGACATTGGGATAAAGAGGTGAGCCCAGGCATCTGGCCAGCGCCACCCGCTGTTGAGCTTGCTTCCCACTTTTTCTTGAAGGGAATATGGAGACAGCTTCACACAGGCCACGGAATGCGTGTGTCTCCTCCAGTGGTGGGAACTTTACACACATCACACACTGACTCACACCCAAGAAATGTGCTGTCCTGTGTGTGCAGGAAGTGTGTGCGGTGGGATAGACACACTCCATTCTGAGCGCTGGCGGCAGGAAGGTGATTTACTGAGACCACAGGGATGGCAAGAGGATGAGGACTGCACCCGGAGAAACTTGCCTAACCTCTAACTGACCCATCAGGTGGCACAATCATTCTGGGAAGTTTCTAATATTACCTGGAAGAGAAGAGACACATGTTCTACAAGCGAATGGGGCCTTCCCTCCCTTAGGTGTACACTCCACAAAAGTGCCTGCCCCGGTGCACCTGGAACTCCTGTGGACGTGATGGAGACCAGGGCAGGATGCGCCTGTGAGCCTCAAGCCTCCAGGGTGGAGCCTGCCCGAGCAGCAGCAGCAGCAGAGCAGGAGGGGTGGTGTCTGTACAGTGGGCGCGTCCACACGGTGAGTATTATACACGGCGGGATGGAAGGACAGAGGCTACATGTGGCCACGTGGAGGAAGCCCCACACATAACAAAGACTGATGTAGCTGGGACGCTGGCTTTTTCCTGTCTTTGAATTCAAGCTGAAACATTTGCTCTTCCTGGGTCTTGGGCCTGCTGGCCTTGGCCTGAAACTAAACCATCGGCTCTCCTGAGTCTCTCGGCTGCTGACTCACCCTGCAGAGCTTGGGAATTGCCAACCTCAATAATCACACAAGCCAACTTCTTATAATAAATCTCTTCATCCTATCTATCGATCTAGCTAGCTAGCTATCATTTATCTATACTCTATATATTATTGGTCGGTATCTCTAGAGAGCCCTAACTAACACGGGGGTCAAAGGTTTTATCAGGGCAAATATCAAGGAATGATCACAAACAGGAATCCCAGAAGGCTGGGGGTGTGGCTGTAAAGGGTCATGTCCTGGATCAAGTTCAGATTTGGGGCACAGTATCTGCCAAGAGCCATCTGCGTGAAGGAGAGACAGGCACATCAGTGAAGACTGGAGTAATTCATCCAATATGAACACCCACATGAATGTGCAAAAGGGAATTTTCCTTTACAGCTTTGGCTTTCTCTGCAGAATCATCGAGTGGCTCCTTACCCCCATAGCTCAGCTAGGCAAAGCTTCTACTTGGATCTGTTTGGTTTTCTTTCCCTTTTCTCCAGCATAGTTTTTAACAATGTATAACACACATATAGGAAAGTGCCCAAAACTTGAAGTGCACGGCTGGATATATGTTCACATCTGCTTAACAAGCACCAAGATCCAAGAAGCAGAAACTTCCAGTAGCCTGAGAAGCCCCCATGGCGTCCCATACAGTCACCATCCCTTTCTCTGTTCCCCTGAAAACCGTTTTCCTGATTTCTAACACCAGAGGTGAGACTGGCTTGTTAGTGAATTTTCTAGAAATGAAATCATATAGTGAGTCCTCCTTTGAGTCTGGTCTCTGACATTTTACTCACGCTGCTATTGTGTGTGGTTGGGGGCCCACTCATGCTCACTGCAACAGTACCCCATCATCTGTCCAGACCATAGATGGCGTCTCTCACACTGAGGACGGGCATTTGGGTTGCTCCGTTTCAGGCCATTGCACTGCTGGGAGCGTTCTTGCACACGTCTGCTGGCGAACACGCGCATGCATTCCCTCCAACATTTTCTATGAAAATTTTCACAGTAAATTTGAAAAAATATTTACTGCAAGCCACCCCCCAAATTCCACCATTAACATATTCCCGTACTAGCTTTATCAAATCTCTACCGGTGAGCCTATTATTACATTTCCCGTTAAATACTGCAGTATGCATACATTAATGAGTTCCATATTTGCTTGCAATTTTTTCTTTTGATATAAAATTCATATGCACACAATTTCTTATTGGCTACATACACCCAGGGGAAATTGCTGGGTCATGGGGTATGTGTGTGGCCAGCCTTAGTAGATGCTGGTAAGTAGCTTTTCACAGTGGCTGGATCTGCCTGCTGGTCTACAAGTGCTCAGCTGATCCTCTTTTATTTTGTGACTCTGTGGCCCAATCTTTGCACCAGGTCACAAAAAGGCCCAAGTACCTCAGATCTCCAATCTCTGCTCTGAGCAGGTGTCTCTCCAAACTCCTGTCTTGTCAGGAGTCTCTTGTTTCTCACAGTGACTTTAGCTTGGCTCCAAGCCCTGCGTCTCCATCACCAAGCGCAGTGCCTGACACTGGCTGGATGGACCAGTAGGTCCTGGGTAGGGGAGGTGGGGCCTGGCCTCTCCCCATCTCCACAGGGCAGGGACCAGATCACCAAGGTCGGTCTAAAGAGATACAATTAGTGCTGCCCTCAAACCAGCACCCGTCCCCTGGTCACTCAAGCAAAACAAAGTGCCTGTCATGGAGGCTGCTTGGTTTCAAGGCTTAATTTAGCCTCTTCCCTGAGTTAACCCGAGATAACTCTGACTCAGGAGGAAGTGGAGGGGAATAATCAGGTCGGCTGTGTTTACTTTCTGAGCACTCCGCAGTGAACCAAAGGCACAGAAGAGTCGCATCCCCAAAGTTTGTTTGGAAGGCACTTGAGTCATCAGCCGCTTTCCCCATAGAAACCGAGTTGGGAGAACAGCTGGATTCCCCGGGGAGCTACCTTAGGGAGAAGCAGTTGGAACCTTGTTTTCTTTGGAAAAAGTTGTCTGGCCAAGATGTGGAGGATGACAAGGGTGGAGGAGGATGAAAGAGATGGAGATTAGCTTACCAATACAGGTGGAAGCGGAAAACAAAACCAAAATGCACGGGTAAATTGGTGATGGGAATTTTGCGGGAACTACTCCTGAGAGGAGAAAGCATGCATTGTACAAAAAGGAAGAACGATATAAAATACATATAAAATTAAATTAATTAAAAAAAAAACACCAAAAAGCAAAGGTTGGGGCTGGGTAGTATCTGACATAGAGTCTGCAAGTCAGGTACTCACTCACTCTCTCTCCCTCCTTCCCGCCTGGGGCTACATGCAGAGGGAGGGACGGCTAATGGAAAAGGGCTTCTTTGGGGGCTGATACAAATGTTCTAGAGACCTAAAGATTAGGGTGACTATAGTCAAACAATTTTATACTTTAAGTGAGTTCTGTAGTTTATAGGTTATATCTCAATCGAGACGTTCATTTTAAAAAAGATAGCATGTGCGATAATATTTGAAATAATGTCTAGAAAGAAATCTAACAAAGACGTGTAAAGTCATTCTAAAGAATATTAAAACACTTTGCAAAGAGACATACAAAGAAACTGGCATGGGAAGGAAAAGGGACCATTTTCATAAAGGGTAAGATTCAGTGTCTAAAAGCCCCAGTTCTTCCCAAAGTGATCTGTTGAAGTCAGAATTTCTACAGGGTTTTTGATGATCCTGGAAAGGTTGATTTTAATTACATATCAAATAGCCCTAGATATTTCCTAAAGAAGAATAAGGGAAGCAGACTTGCCCCAAGAATTATGTACAGCTTCAGCAATGAACCCTTCCACAAAAAGGGGAAAGGCAACTATACGTACCTGGGTATTGTTAATCACTAGGGGGAAACAGGTCTTTGGATAAACGTTCTGGAATAATTGAGTGTCTATATGGAAATATAATGAAACTGAACCAGTATTTCATAGATTCCAGATGGATTCCAGACAACTGTGACAGGGAAAACCTAATTAAGAACATTTAGAAGACAATATACGTAAATATCTTTATGACTTTGGACTAGAAAAGGTTTTCTGAATAAGACACAAAAGTTGAAGGGTAATAGTAATAAATTCAGTAAAATTAAATTTAACCTGTTTATCAAAAAATATTCAGAAAAGAATAGTTACACCATAGACTGAGTGTATGGATATGTGTGTATCCTATGCGTGCTACGCGTGCTGCTTACATGACAGGTAATGCACTAGTGTGTAAGAAAATAAAAACTTCTAGTAGAAAACTGGGCAAGAGGCAGGCCCAGGCACTTCTCAAACGTGTAAAGGTCCTCAGAGAAGCGAAACCTCAACAAGCAGAGACCACAACAGGTCCCCACCCAATAGCCATTAGATGCACAAGCGGTAAAAACTCCTACAAGACATGCAACACAAAGGGGGTGAAACAAAGGGACTAGATACCAGTCGCAGGAGAACAACATGGTCACCGTCACTTTGGAAAACAGGACGATGTCACCTTAGAAAGCTGAACATGCCCACCCCCTGGTGACCTGCCAACCCACCTCCGTCTTCATTCGAGCTTCAGATTTCCCCTGAAAGAACTCCAGGAAGGGCTAGCTGAACCTCTTCCTGGATACACCCCCATCCATCTGGAAGTCATCTAGCCCACTCGCAAAAATTCACTCAGGAAAGTACTCTTACTAAAGCTTGCACCCACTGGCTCAACTTCCGTAACTAAGAACTAAACAACAAAGAAAGCCCTGCCATCTTCTCAAGGCAAAGCCTCTCTTTTGAAAAATTGATATTCAGTGGGAAGAAATGACAACTCTGTTCTCAAATCCAGCTGGGACCTGAGCTTGGCTCCACGGTTTACCAGCTGTGACTTAGGCAATCGCTTCACTTCTCTGCGATTCAATTTCTCACCTGGAAAGGGGGGTGACACTTCGTACATAGGATTCAAGATAAGGTTGTAAATGACCTTGCTCAGGCACTGGCAGCTACTATGATTAC